TCGGGCTGCAGCTACTTTGGCTCGAGGGGTCGTTGGCAGGGCACGCATCGGCGGCGCTCGCGGCGATGGCAGGCATGGCGCGCACGCACAGAAACATTAAGAGCTTCAAGGAGGCGCTCGACGCATGGACTTTCGACAAGCGGGATGAGTTCCTCGCCGTGGCAAGTACGCCAACAGACATGTCGCCGTACCCGAATGACCTCACAACGCCGCTGATGGTCTTTGTTCAGTACTTCGGCGCGGTCCCCGATGAGCACCTCTGCCAGGAATGCGGCTCTGAGTTCACCAGAGATCAAGTCTGGGACGTCTGACCGCGCGGCGCGCTGGGCGCGGCGCGGCCCTCGCTACGACCGCGATAGCTGCTGCGACGCGTGCGGCGACGTTGAGATCTCCATGACAAAAGGCACCTGTTGGCTGACGTCAAGGCGTCAAGTCGGCTCCAACTCTTCGACTGCATGGTCATGTGTGCCCAGGAGTACGCGCACATGAAGATCCTTCACGAGCTCGACAGGCAGCACAACGTCGTGGGCCCTTGGATGGAGCAATTCCAGGATGATGTCGCCGGGTCTTTACATCGCCGACAAAATTCCCTCCCGAGGCTGTAAAGGAGCCTTCAAGAAACAGGCCAAGGCCAATGGCAAGAATGGCGCGAGGAAAAAAAACATAAACGAACTCCAAGAAACAGCAGACCAAGCTCATCGCGCAGGCCGACGAGGTCTTCCTGAACAAGTCCAAAGTCAGTCGCCTCGCGCCAGGCACCCGCCCCAAGAAGGACAAAGATGGGTTGTGGGGCGCGGTCGTGCATGGCGGCCCAGAAAACTTCGTCTTCCGAGTCTTGGAGCACCCAGAGGACGCGTTCGACGGTCGAATTTAGACACGCTGGGCCTCCGCAGCGGCATGGTCGTCGCCACTGACGGGTGAAAGGCCGCCATCGCGCTATCAAGCACATCAAGAACAGGGATGGATGGTCGGACAGGGACTTGAAGCACGAGATCGTCGCACATTTCCCAGGGGGAAGCCAAAAACCAGCGCGGCTTCACGACGAACCACATGGAAGCGCCTCGGCGGCCGCTTGTCGACTACCTCCGGTTGGCGGAACTGGGCCAGCTGGAAGGTCGTCACGAAGTTGCACTCAATCGGTGGCGGCCACACCTACTCCCTGCCGACGAAGACGAGTCACGCTGGCTGGGGCCTCTCACGCGGCGCCACGGACGTTGACTCTGCAAGTGGTCTCGAGGCTCGGAAGCGCCTGCTGTGCAGGTTATGCGTGTGCTGGGCTCGCGGGTGAATGGCGTGACACGTGGGCCACCCATGCTTGGGGTTGAACAGCGGGCCTGCACCACTGCGGAAAAGAACCATCATCCTACCCTTGCGTCGAGCCGCCACAGCAAAAATCTTAAAATCGCGGGGGTGGGGGCGATAACGAACCGAAACCTAATGATCATCATCATCATCAACAACAACATCAGCAGCAGCAGCATCGTACCGTCGTCATCGTATCGTCGTCATCGTCATCGTCATTCTCATAAGCAGCAAAGCATCATCATCAGTATCAGCATCATGATCATACTCAGCATCAGCATCATCATCATCATCATCAGCAGCAGCATTAGCATCAATATCACCGTCGTCATCATCACCATCGCCATCATCCTCATACTTATCGTCATCAGCATCATCATCATCATCAGCTTCCCCTCTCGTCCTCCTACTCCTTATCCGCCGACCCCTTGTGGGTCTCTAGGCGTGTGAGATAGTTCCACCCCCCCATATTCCCCCCCCCCCCCCAGGGACCCCAAACCAGAGATTTGACCCCCCCCCTCGCCGACGACGAGCGCGCCACGGGGCTTTTTTGGGCCCAAGAGGGGCTCCAGACAAGCCAAGAAGGCCTCCAGACGCTTCCAAGACGGCCCACGAGGGCCCCGAGACGCCAAACGAGCGCTCCAAGACGCCCAAGATGGCCCCAAGACGAGCCAAGACGTCTCGAAGACAGCCCACGAGGCCTCCAAGAACAGTCTCCAAAAGAGCCGAGGAGCCGAAAATCGTCAATTTCCTAGTACATGTTCATCATATTTGACTTGTCGGCCTTCACGGCGCAGACAACGGTCCAAGAGCACTTCAAGACCGCCCCAAGACGGCCCAAGAGGCCCCAAAGAGGCGTCCAGGTCGGCCCAAGAGGGCGCTAAGACAGCCCAAAATGCTCCAAAGACTGCCCAAAAGGGCCCCAAGACGGCCCCAAGAGGGGCCCAAGAAGGGGAGCCCGAACCGACGGCCGCAGAAGGCCGCAAGAGGCCCCAAGAGACCCCCAAGACGCCCCCAAGAGGCCCCCAAAAAAATCCAAGAGGCACCAAAACGGCCCCCAAGAGACTTCGAAACTACCTCCAAGAGCCCCGCGAGAAGCCCCGCAAGAGATCCCAGAGATCAGGGACTCCTTTGCATGTCTTGCGCTTCAGTGGTGCTGTCCAGAAATTCTAAACATCTAGCTTTCCGCCCCCAAGAACCACACGGAGGCCCCAAGAGTGCCCCAAAAAGCCGTCAGATGCCCCCACGTGGCTTCAAAACTGCCTTCGTGCCGCGAGATTACGTAAGGTAAGCTGCACTGAATGCTATCATAAGATATTGCATCCTAAACGAAGGTTACAGACGAAAGGTAAGCTGCATTGAATGTCGCGCTGCAGGGAGCAGACATTGCAAGACGAGAGAAATCGACTAATGATGCTTGACGATTTCGCGCTGCTATCACAAGGAATACAAGGGGTCGGCGGATGTGGCGTAAGCCAATATAATCATCCTCGTTCCCATCAGCATCAGCATGAGCATCATCGCCATCATTCCATACGCATCATCATCCTCATCATGATCGTCAGCATCGTCGTCGTCATCAGCATCGCCATCACCAGCGTCATCATAACACTGTTATGATTATGAGTATCCTTATCATTATGCCTCTGATTGTTCCTCCTCCTCCTCCTTTCCCTCCTCCTCCTCCTTCTCTTCCGCCTCCTCCTCCTCCTCATCCTTCTTATTCTCATCCTCCTCCTCCTCCTCCTCCTCCTCCTCCTCCTGCTCCTCCTTCTCCTACTCCGCTTCCCCCTCCTCCTCCTCCTTCCCCCCTCCCTCTCCTCCTGTTTCCCCCCCACTCCGCCTCGCTCCGAGGCACCCGTGCGCCAAGCAGACCCCTGCCGCCCATCCGCAGGGCAGGGCTAGGGGAGAGAGGGAGGGGGGAGGCGAAGAGGATGGGGAGGGAGGATGCCGAGGTCCGATTCGCATGAAAGTTCCCTCCGAACTATTTCTGTCCTCTTCCCTCCGCCCCAGGCAAAGACGATCGCGCCCCGCCCCCCCCCCCAGACGTCCGACGATTCGTCGTTGCTCAATCGCGGCATGTTTCCATCAAAAGAAGATGATGACGAGTTCTGTCGCTCTGTCCGCTCACGTGAAAGTTCGCTCGCGCGCCCTCGAGGCGAGGGGGGAGGAGGAGTAGGGGAGGAAGCGGGAACGGGCGCGAGAAAAACAAGCGAATTTCGATGCACAAGTGGAGCCATTGACACTCAGCATGTTCTTGAAAGGCAAGCGAGCTCTTCTGCGAAGTTCCGAAAAGTACGAGTCCGAACACGCACAGGTTGTTCAGCAGCAGGGCTGTACACAGACGCGTCCACGTTGAAGGGAAAGGCAAGGAGCTTCGATGGGCCAACCGATACGCACTGTCCCCGGGGATGCACCTCACCACCCACTCAAGTATTGGCACGAGCGCCTCCAGGGAGGAAAGCCATGCATGCGCCGACCAGAAGGCTCTACATAGCCCCAGAACTTGACAAGCATCCACCTTTCACCCCTTGACCATGGATCACCGTGTCCGTCGTGCCACGGGTTGCGCCCACGACGCTCACGCCGACCACCTCCTGGATCGTCAGTGTCAGAGCCATGCCCGCGTCACCATCTGGGCCACCAGCGTCGCCACCTCCACATGCGGGGCCGCCAGAGGCACGGCGAAAACATCGGAGCTCTTGTGGCCCGTCGGACTAGACATGGGGATGCGGAAGGTGAAAGATTATTTCCCGTCAAGTGAAACTTTGGAACGATGTATAGCATGCAAAGCAAGTTGTGCTGTGCAAAGCGGGCGCGATAAAGGGTCCTTAAGATGCACTACAGCAGCGGCAAGGACAGAGTGAGAAGCAGGCAAGGCAGGAGGACCTACCGTTCGAGTGTCGGAGCTCAACGGCGCATGGCCTGAGGAGGACGAGCCGCCCAGCGTCCGTGCTGCTTCACGAGGGAACTGGGTCGTAAGGTTTTCTCCGTTTTCGGGTTCCAAGGGCCCTCTCCAGACCCAAAGACTGTCAAACAAAAAAACAGCTCGGGACTGTCACGGGGCCCTCACGGGACCCCAGGGCCACGCGCCACGCGCAAGATGCCATCGGAGCTCTTGTGGCCATGGACTGGCGCAACCGTCTGGGATGATTATGCTGGCCAGCACACCAGACAGGGGCACGACGGCCACCTCGTTGCGCATGCCGACCACGTGCACCCGGAGCAGCTCGAGGCCCAGCACCACCCCGTCCACATGCGTGGAGAGCATCAGCCGCGCTTGCCGCCCAAGGGCCAGCTGGTGCAGCACCCATTCCAGCCCCACGGCTGAGGCCATTTTCGGCGGCGAGCCCAGGGGGAGATGAGAAGGCTACGGGATGGGGAGGGGGATGCCCAGGAGCACAGGCAGGACTAGGAGGGCGGGAAAGAGAGGGAGGAGGCGAAAGAGGAGGCCAACAACGAGGCGGAGGGTTAGGAGAACGAAGACGAGCAGCGTGAAGAGAAAGCGTGGAGGCGAGGAAAACGTGAAGACGAAAAAACAAAAGAGAACGACGACAACGACGACGACGACGACGACGACGGCGACGACGACGACGACGACGATAGAAGAAGAAAAAGAAGAAAACAAAAACTGTATAAGCGTAAGCATTTGGCGCTCAGAGTGGGTCGCCAAAAGTTCATGTTTATGGCTTTTCTTCTTCGGGACGACGACGACGACGAAGAAGCGGAAAACGACTAGATTCCCACACAAGCCTCTCACCCGCACGTCTCTCTCCGACGGGCCCAGCCTTCCACGGCCACAGCGTGGTTATGGCCGTCTCCGTGCCCGCGCAGCAGGCCAGCACGAAGAAGCTGGTCACGGCCACGCCCAGATCTCGCGGTGCGGCCGGGGAGGGCGGAGAGGTAGGCTTCGGTGGCAACTCATGTCATGGGAGCCTCACATACCATCTTGGACCCCCGGAGGTCTGGACCACTTCCCTCGGGGCGGTATTCCGTCCTGAGCCCTTTGTCTTGGGGTCCCAGGGCACCTTGCGGGCACCGAAGGCCCAAAACAGCCCAAAAAAACAGCCGCCCCATGTTTTGGTTCTGAGCTTCGGATCTCTAGAAAGCTTCGGTGGCAACTCATGGGAGCCTCCTATCCCATCTTGTCGGCTTTTACGAATCGACGCTAGCCGACGCTAAACCGACGCTAATCGACGCTAAATCGACGCTTATCGACGCTAAATCGACGCTAAATCGACGCTGATCGACGTGAATCGACGCTAGATCGGCGCTATCTCTTCGCCTTTCAGACGCTGATCGAAGCTGATCGACGCTAAAGACGGAATTCAGAGGGTACGCAAGGCTCCCATGATTTGCTACTGAAATACGCGCTAGGTCTAGAGAGACAACAAAACTTGTGTCAACGATGGACACCCCTCCCTGGCTCGCGGAACGCGCCGGGGGCGGCGCCGGAGGCGCCGCCAGAGGGTTCCAGCGCCGATCCAAGAAGTCCGAGCGGATCTCCATAAGTTTCTGTTTGTGCCGCTTCGTGTTCTTCGAGGCGGGGGAGGTGTTGGGTCACCCTTGGCAGGAGCCTGCCTGCCCGACACGCACACGCACACACGCACACACACACACACACACACACAGACACCCCTCTTGGCCGCACGCGCCCACTATCGTGAGACCGGCGCGCAGAGCCCAACACAGTCGAAGCAAGAGGAAGGCACGGTGGAGGCACAGCGGAAGCACGTGAAAGGAGGCAGGTGACAGCTGCAACGACGCTCGATGGCCCGAGGCTGGCCAAAGGAGTCGGCGGCGACGCGGTGCAGCATCAGGGCCAGGGAGAGGCCAGCCAATAGAGGAAGCGATACCTGCGAGTAAACAGACACTCTGGGATGTCCGCGCTTGGTGACACATAGTCCAATCGCTTGGCAAGATTTCGGCCCACCATTTGGCCGCATGGGCGTTTCCAACAGGCAGGGAGCGGCGGTGATTCGCAGTAGGCGTCTTCGATCCGCCGCCCCCGTTTGATCGATCAAAGGGGCGCCTGGCGTGCCAAAATTATCAGTGTTTCAAACCTTTTGGAGAAAGTTCCCAGTGAGGCCTCGGCCGATCGCAAGGCCAAGACCCAGGATGGCCTCCAAGATGCCGCCAAGACGGACAGGATGACCCAGGATGGCCTCCAAGACGGTTCCCAAGACGCATCCAAGACGGCGAAAATGGCCCCAACAAGGCCTAAAATGCCCTCAAGATGGACCAAGAGGCGCCCAAGACGCCCCAAGAGGGCTCCAAGAGGACCTCCAGGAGGCCAAAACTTGGATGTTCGCATGTCGTTCCATGATTTTAGCGTGTTCGACTTGTCGGGTTTCCGACGCTCCAAGACGACCCAACGGGTCCAAAAGAGAGGCCCGCAAGACAGCCTAACCGGGTGCCAAGACGGCCCAAGGGGCCCAAAGATTGCCCCAAGACGGCCCAGAGGTATCCAAGACGCCCCTGAAGCGCCCAAAGAGGGACCCACGACTACCCAGAGAGGGCCCCAAGACGGCCTGCGAAAGCCAAGAGGTTCATCTGAGGCACCCAGAGGCGCCCCCAAGAGGCCCCCAAGAGGCCCCCAAGAGGCCCCAAGAGGCCCCCAAGCGTCCCGTCAGACGCCCCCAATATGCTTCCAGAAAGGCCCCCTGGAGGCCCCAAGAGGGCCTCAAGGGGCCTCCTCCTCCTCCTCCTCCTCCTCCTCCTCCTCCTCCTCCTCCTCCTCCTCCTCCTCCTCCTCCTCCTCCTCCTCCTCGTTTGTCCGTATTCTCACCGTGGTTCCCCAAAGGCTTCACGACGGCTGGGGAGCACATAGTCCAATGGCTTGGCTTGACTTCGGCCAGAACGTTTGGCAGCATGGGCGTGTCCAAAAGGCAGGGGGCGGCAATGAGTCGCCGTATGCGTCTTCGATCCGCCGCCCCGTGAGGCCTGCAAGAGGCTTTGTTGGCCTGCTGGACGATGCATTCCAAAGGCTCCTAATCGGGTATCGGCCGATCGGGCCAGCCACGCGGAAAATATATGTCCCAGTGGCTGTTCCGCCCAGGATAGCCCCAGGCTGCCTCCAAGAGGGCCAAGATCGCCTCCCGGGCGGTCCAAGGTGACGTCCAAGAAGGCCAATACGATTCCACGATGGCCCGAGATGGACCAATATCGTCCTGAGATGGCTCAAGATGACCTCAAGGCGGCCCAAGAAGCCCAAAAGACGCCCCAAGAGGGTTCCAAGAGGCCTTCGAGCAGAGCCGAAGAAGCCCAAATCAGTGATGCTCCCAAGGTTGTTGTCAGTTGTTCGCGTTCTCGCCTTCTCTAGCTTTCGACTGCCGAAGACGGCCCAACAGGCCTCCAAGATAGCCCCAGGGCGGCCCAAGAAGCCCTAAAGTGGGCCACGCAAGATGGCCCCAAGACAGCCCAAGAGACCCCCAGGACGGCCCCAAGACAACGCAAGAGACTTCCGAGACAGCCCTGAGCGCCCTAAGAGGGCCCACAGAGCCCCCCGAGACGGCTACCGAAAGCATCAGACGGGTTCAGAGCGCCCTGAGACTGCCCAAGAGGCCCAACAAGAGGCCCCAAGAGAGACCCAAGAGAGACCCAAGAGGCTCTCAAGAGGCCTCTCCGAAACCCAAGGAAGCCCCCAGGAAGCCCTCAGGGGGCCCCAAGAGAGCGCCAAGAGGCCGCCGAGAGGCCTCCTTCTACTCTTCCTCCTCATCCTCATCCTCATCCTCATCCTCCTCCAGTCTTCCCTCTGAGAATCGGGGTAAGATGACAAAGGAATTAAGATCTCATGTTCACTTTGCTCAGGGAGAGCGGAGGCGGGATGAGACATTGATAAGACAAGTATCCGTTAAGCAAGACTACTCTATCACGAATAGAAAGGGAGGAGGAAGGCCGAGGACGGACGACGACGAATCGCCCGCGCGCCCCAGCGCGCTCCTTTTCTCTCCTGCCAGCCGAGGTCGGCTGGTTCGAGCACTTGTATGGCTGCAGAAACGCAGCTTCAGTTCACGCGGACAGTGCAATGCATGCAAGCTAAGTGAAGTTCTAATTGGGCATGAGGCGGAGAGGAGCATATTTACTCCCCCCGCGGCGGGCCGCGTAGAGCCCATCCAGCCACAGCACCCCCGGCCTGTACATGTGCACAATCACCGGAGCCAACCCGAAAAAGCTTTTACGGCTCAACGGTGGCTGCCAAGGGGCCAAGGGCCGAAGAGGCTCGACGTTTCCCACCATTGTTATAAATAGTTTCTCTCCGCTGGACCGGCTTAGCCGACCAGTAGAGAGGTCCGCGCCCAACACGCTTAGCGCGTGGGTAAAGTGTTTTGCGCGCGCCTGCCGCGGACGGAGCCACGCGGGCCGCGCCCAGCTGAGGTCCTCGAACGGATTCCACGAACTCTCTCGCCTAGGCGGCGCTGGTGGCGGCGGATTTGAAGTCGCCGATCCTCCCGTCTGTGCGCCCATGCCACGAGGCGTGCGAGACCGCCCTCTTTCTCTGTCAGCATTCCCAGCCAGCGCCGCCTCCCTCGGCGGGAAATGTTGCTCATGCTCCTTGATAGCCAGGTCCAGTAGGGCAGATTGTACCATTCATCGTTAGTAAGCCACGTGATCCTGTCCCGGTGGAGGTGATACCCAACAAGGATTCCATTCACGTAGCACGGGTAGGACCTGTCACGATCGCATTCGTAGCCGTATCCTGCAACACTGCTGGCAGCATCCGAGGCAGCGCCTGCGGCAGCGCCCACCGCCGCGGGCAGCACAAGGCCGGCGGCATCAGCAGCGGCCCCATCAGAGGCATCATCCATGGCTGCATCGCGCGCGCGTCGCAACTCCGACCGATCCCTCGTGTTGGGATCTTGTCGGTTAGCCTCTCTGGTCGGCACGGCTGAGCCGGCGGCAGAACGTGGGGAACCAGTAGCTTCCTCAGACGCCTGAGCATCTGAGATGCCAGGTCGAAGAGACGGCGCGCGAGACCAACGTCTTGCCTTTGGTCCAGCAGGCGCACGTGGCCCCACGATCTCGGCTTCGCCGTCGTGCTCAGGATCATGAGTCCTACCGTTCCTAAATTGTAATATACTTCTGGCAGCGGTTGCTGCAGCGACACCATATAATCCGCACGCAGTGCGGAACGGACCATCTTCTCTGTCCTGGAGATCGGTACCGGGGTCAGGATACTTATCCTGTAGCCAAGTTATGGCATCTTGTATTAGGACACCGTGGCGACGGACGTCATTATGTGCTTTCCTGCCCATCTTGTGGGCACATGTTTCTATAATGTCGTCTGTCTCAACAGCCGCACGAATTCGGCAGACCAAGGCATATTCGTCGGTCCGTTTCTTCGATTCAAACCCATCCGTGCTCACCATTTCGGGACGAATGTTCCGCCTGGGGTAACCAATAAAATCATCGTCCGATATGACATAGCTGATTATCTCACGAACAATTGCGAAAATCCTTATGAGTCGAAGGCCCAGTTCCATGTGTTGTGTTGGTATTAACCAATTGTCATCCACTATTTTCTTGATGATCGCCGGAATCACATAGTCTGCCGTTCCGGTCAGGGAAACCCTGCCGGGTGTAGTAGGGTTTATTCCCGCATGTTCAATTATGTAATGAGCGGCAACCTCTCGAACTTCGTCCCCGAACAATCTTATTTTGATCAGATGGTCCTCATGGTGAAAGTATACGTGTCCCTCAGGTTCGTCAAGAGTGAGGAGTCCGTCAGTTATCGACGCGGCCTTAGGCCCGCTGATCACTTTGAGGCCCAGATCCATTCGTGACTGTTCGCGCGCCCTCGCGGCTGAGCCGGCGGCATGTCGCAACGCGGGAATAAAAAGACGATGGTCCCGACACATGCCAACCCGTCTTGAA